CCACTCCTCGTGAGCAAACTGCTCGGCCTGTAGGTTTGAAGGGTGCCTTCTCCAGACTTCATGTTTCAGACTGCATGTTTCAGCTCCTTCCACAGATGTTCAATAGGATTTAGATCAGGGCTCATAGAATGCCACTTCAGAATAGTCCAATGTTTTGCTCTTAGCCATTCTTGGGTGTTTTTAGCTGTGTGTTTTGGGTCATTATCCTGTTTGAGGACCCATGACCTGCGACTGAGACCAAGCTAGGTCGCAGGTCTCATTGGGTCTCATTGGGTCCGCTAATTATACCAATTCACCACAGCTGTGGCATTGCATACGACTTGCCAGTGCTTCATTTTAAAGAGTGACCCTCTTAACTAGCGACTATCAACTGAATATTTTAACTAACTGATGACTTTATTTGGCTGAAAATTGCCAGTTAACAGAGTCACAGACTCAAGAGGCAGGAGGAGGGAAACTGCAGATGATCAGTACAAGCAGGTACTGAGATTACACATTGTCCTGCTTTACCCCTACCAAAGTAATTAGTATAAGTAACAAAAATTATGATACGTCACCCAAATCACTGCAGGGAAAGTACCTTCACCGCAACATCCCTATTGTCTGGGGCAATAGCCCCTAGTAGGGTAAATTAACTCTGACTGACTCCAAGTTTGGTTTTCAGCTGATCTGCGGGGCTGACCCGGCCGTGAAGTTGGGTGTTTGATACTGTGGGGAACAACTGGAGTGACATTGGAAAGCTAGCTGAGCTGACCTATGGTTCCGGTAACATATCCTTTTCTGGGACTGAAAACCAAAGGAATCAGGTCAATTATAGTAGCTGGTACGACCATGAAGCTCAGTGGAAATTAAATTCCCTAGACCTAAAAACAAATCACTTGACCAGTACTACCTGTGCCATGACAATGGAAATGTACAATCATTTGCATTTTCCTTTGCAGCTTTTCTGAAAAAGTTTTACTACTTTTGGATGCTAAGATAACACAGAGGAAAATTTTCTTTAAAGGTTTTATTTTTTTTTAATTTTTATTTATTTTTAGTTTTATTTTTTTAGAAATTGCCAGAGGGGACTTTTTTCCATTAGCGATGTCTACCTATTAAAGAGGGGACCTCCATATACTGCAGTGGAACTGCCTCTACCCATTCTTTCACCTAATTATTGTTCATTTACTGCAAAGACTTTCTTTGTTTCTTTCAAAAATACAATTTAAAGGGGAACTTGGCAACTCTAGCCATTTCTTCGCTGGTTTTCATTTTTGTCATCGCA